TAAATTTCTCAATTTCTGCATTGTCTCTTTCGGGCTTAAACAGAGCACTGTGACTGGTCCTAGATGGCTGAAACTTCAACATAGTTTGCGCTAGAGATTGCGAAGCAGCCGTGCTCTGGCTGCACGTAACGCTCCTCCCACGCGCACACAAAAACCAACCAGGACCTTTCTTCAACCGGTTTTTTTTTTTCAGTTTAAACAAATCAGTTGTACATGAAACTACATTGCTTTTTTTTGAGTATTTCTAGAAAATTTCTTTATGTACTTAGATTTCTCTTTCAATTCCAACTTTAGCTTTTTATATGCGAGACATTTCTGCTTAACGAAAACAAATCTGTGCTCCACTAACCTAGCAGTGGGTAACATTTTGAATTGGCCAACTACGCTACGCCTTGCAAGCAAATGTAGGCAAACATGTCGGCATAATTTTTTTGCTGAACTTATTGGCATTCGTCGAGAATTTCAAACTTTCATGAGCACAGGCACATAGTTTATTCAAATCTGCGTTTCATAAACTGTGGTTGAAAGTTGGAAGATGGAGTGCACGACACAACAAAAATCATTGAAAAAAGTTTCCGCTAGCATAATTGAAGCTGCTGGTTCACGCTGCGAAGTTGGGCCTTCACTCTCTGCAGCTCCGACGCTGAACAAACGGTGATCTTTGACACTCTGCATCAGCGTAGCCATTGTGCTTCTGAGTTCTCACAACAACTGCAAAGAGTGAGAAAGCGCAAAATTTATAAGGGAAGGAACCAGTTTGGTTAGGGTAGTAAACGGATGGAATACTCGCAAGCTTTGTGCCAGATTTACCACCAATTTTTTCGTCGGCTGCACTGGAGACGTGTGCATTCGAGAATGTAGCATCACAATTTGGAGGTAGCTGTCACCGCCTTTTTAGACGTGGGAGCTTCGTGGCACGGACGCTGATTTGATTTGAAGAGGTAAGAAGGCAAACCTTCGAAAATCCTTGGTACGGCGTCTTCCACCAGTCTTGGTCGTTCTCGGGGCAGCGAAACGTTGATTCCGTTCACTGTGCACATGTTCGCACGTACAATGTCACTGCCGTCGAAACGTTTTTCACGCACGCGAGCGCTTTTGAGTCGAACGAAAATCCGGAAGTCTCTCGCCGCGGGACCACACTTTTGCACCTCTCGCGTTATTCTGCGTTGGCTGGGAAAATTTTCAGCGGTGCTCTTGTATGCAGAGCAGCAGCCTGGCACGCAGCAGGTGTTGGGCATTACTGTCAACACGATGTGACCCCGAAAAGCAAAAAAAAAAATGAGGGCGATCCGCAGGACCGCCATCACTACGCTCCTGCACTTCACTAATGGCAGCCAGCGAAGCAGCCTGCCCAGCCGGCTTCCTCGCCCCTCTATCTACGCCAGCGCCACGGCGCGGAAAGTGCGGGTGGCGTATGAGGCTCTCCCATTGAGTGACGCGGCATTTTCATGTCCAGAAATAGTATTGAAGGACCATGGTTTCTATAAAGAAGTCGCGTTTTTTAGGACCCCCCCCCCCCCAAAGAAAAAATAAGGATTCCTCTGTCTTTCTAGTGTCAGTTCATTGTATTTAGTTGTGCGTGGCACCTACCGCGGCCGCTGGGTTTTGTTTTTTGTCCAGCGGACGAATCCCTACAATTTAATACGTATCGCGGGGTTTTTCCACTATATGTGTGCAATGAACTCCAAAGAAAGCTTGGTCACGAGTGCGCCTGCTTCCTGTCAACTACTTTTTACGCTTTTGTACGTGGTGCTCAGTCCGAAATTCTGCATTGAAACAACAACTATCCTGCTTAGACACCCTTGTTTAGCCCTTGCGTTCCTGTATTTTGAGCTGTTTAGTTGTTAGAATGCTCGAACATTGATCGACACCCTGAACATTGGCACGCGCCGAGACCACGCACAAATCATGATTTTGAGACATTGCATATGTGCTTGCCGAATACGCTAAATAAATTAAACTCAATTGCGAGAATGTTCGTATGATCTTTAATACTTCTGTTTCAAATATCCTTTATTAGATTGTGTGCGTAGTATTATTTCCTGTTCGTATAATTCTTTTCTCTGATGTATAGGATGTGCATTGCTGGTTTGCGTAACTTTGTCTAGGTTTCTTGTTCCGATGCAAAGCATATGCATTGCTGCTTTCAACAATCCTGTGGTTTATTTCACTTTTGCCATTTTTTTGTCACTGTGAACATGGGTTGTGGGGCATTGTCAACCTCTTTTATGCAGCTTTTTCTCCTGTCCCAGCCACTTACTGTACAACTGTACGTGGCAATTGAGCTCAACTTAAACTCAAACACCAAAAAGCCCACCGAGAAACCTTAAAAAGGCTGCTGAAATACTCCTATCGCAAATCGGTTTTACCAGCTGGAGCTGTTCACGCTCGAAAATGCCCCGTTTGCCGCACACACAATCCACCACCGTCATCTGCAGCACATCCTTTGCGTCCTCCTCTGATTGATCGCTTCGACAACACGTGCGCCTATTAGTACCGCGTGAGATGCAATAACTCCTATCGGCGAGAGGAGGAGCATAGACAGAGAGAGATAGAAACCAACAGTGACACAAAGAAGTGAGCCCCACAGCAAGACAGGAAAAAATAGAGTGAGCGGGAAAGCGAAGACTAAGAAAGCATGGCGCTACGACACTGCAATAAAGAGATAGCGAGAGCAAGAAAAAGAAGAAAAGAATACGGAGAGCAACAATGACAGAAAGATGGGAAAGGTTAACGGAGAAGGCTCCGCGCTTCCTTTAGGCTGCCTTACTCTCGAAGTGCGAAGTTCTTCTTTGGTAACCGAAGGTGTAATCAGCCATTTCCTTCTATCGATCGCATTTGTCACCAAACCATTTACAGGTGTCTCGGGTGAGACATACTCGCATAACACGGGCTGTCGTGTAGTACATACAGCAAACACTTTATTAGAGTTTGATATAAAACCTAAGTTTTCAAAGCTTAAAGCGACAGCGTGAACGAGTTCGTGCCCCGGAAAGTGCACAGCCGGCATTGATCCACAGGTAAAGCAACCCGATGGTTGCAGACAATAAAAATCATTGATTGGGTCCCTATCGTACTCAGGTAGCCTGCCTGCCAGCCAAGTGTTCTAGCACGGAAGCTACGCCAATGCTTCTTCAATAAAACACCTTAGAAAAGAGTCACTTCAGAACAGCGGCAGTTGCGATCGCATTGTTGACTATCCACTTGTAATAAGTGTACTGATGAAGTTAGATGTATACCCATATGACCTGCGAACTGTAGTCAAGCTTTGGGCGAATGCCCTACGACCGCTACTTCTAATATTAGCACCATTTTAACGCATTTCATGGCAACGATGTTTGGTGCCAAAACATCACACCGTGAGCTTATACGCGACTTCGCTGGACTGGGCAGGTTCTCGGAATGCACACTACTCATCGGTTTACGTCAATCCACATCGCAATGTTTGACTGGAAGAAAAAAAAAAGATACTGTCGAGGCGGCACTCCTTCACAATAAACGTCGCTTCACAATGCGTGGGACGGCACCTCGGCATGAATGGTCAGGATTTTGCAAATACAACAAATTTATCTTAAGGACAAAGTGAAAACAAGGTTTCTAAGCATTACCTCTATTACCGAAAGTACACGGAGCATGGTTATGTGGCATTTGTTTGGAAAATATATAGCTATATCATGTATTTAGTTCATAGGCATATAAATAAAACCAGTTGTTCGCAGTTGCGCAACAATGCCAAATGAAACATGCTGGTCCTGCACACTGCTACATAAATCAACTTCAGCGCAAGCGCACGGTGACTATCCACAATTGACATTAAGCCGTCGTGACGGCTGTATCAAAGTAGTACATATGCAATGTTTATAAAAGTGGGTAGGCAGCAATTCAACCACAATGGACGTTTGACGAAGATTGCATGACGTCTATTTAAAAAGTAGTTCCGAGACCTGGCCTAGCGCTATAGTAAAATGCTTCATTGCTACGCAGAATGCTTGGGTTTGATTCCAGCTGGGATCGTTACATTTATTGCTTCAATTCGTCGGTTCGACGCTACCAATGCAGGGTATTTCTTAACGCTTGTGCGTTAAAATCGCTCATGTGTGTTCTCGTTGTTCCTGGGTAGATACTACGTCAATATAAAGCTTTAGAAGAACGTTTAAAGGTGATGCGGTTGTTGCCAGCACAGCAAGCGTCATGTGAATTTCAGAATAGCGTTTGCCCTCTTGCAAACCACAGCGCACAATCACAGCAACACCATAGCCTCAAAACTGCCGTTTGCGGGCTGCACTTGCCGCCCGCTATTTCAGATTTTTTGCAGGCGCGTCGCGAACGCGTACTGCGTCTCGCGTTACAACGCAAGCGCAGTGGCAACGACCGCACCGCAAAGGCTAGTGGTGTGCTATTCTAAGACTTTCTTATCAGGTGCGGCACATACCCACATGCCAGTGGCACATGCCCGCCCGTGGGCATGTGCCACTGTCTGGCGGGAATTTTTTGAAGACGTACGCGACGGGATTGTCACATTATTCGTGTCTTGACCAGCGCGTCATATTCGTCAAACCATTTTACCTTTTCATGCTAATTTTAGTTTACGCCAAGTTAAGGGAGTGACCACGAGAGCACCCAAACGTAAGCGGCTAAAAGATACATACGCTAAAAGTCACTAAGGTTCGCTAAGAAAGTCTTCGCATTTAAAAACTTTTCGGTCTAACTGAAGACCGAACTAAGTTTGTCTAAGTGGCAAGCAGGTGTACCATCTCAGAGGTACAATATTCGCTGGAAGAGCTGTAAAATGAAGAAAACACTATGTAAATGCCATGTCAAATGCAAATGTGATATGAAGCACTTTTCACAACACATCATATATTACGTGACGAGGCGTGAAAACATGTGAACTAAGCAATGAGTGGGTGTTTTGAAGGCCCACCTGCTATAAAGCGCTCAGACATTTGATCAAAAGCAACAGCAAAATCATCAACAAGCTCCTGCTGCCCTTCGAACACTCAGTGGGCCCTTTGCTGATTGACAAAAAAAAACTACTTTTGCTGTAGTGGGCAATTAACAACTCTACGTAGACATTCAGTGACACTTTGATGGAATGGCCAATGTTACGCGCGCATTCCTTCGCTTTTTATGGCACGGTTGAGGCATGCACAAAGACCCGAAGCAGCATAGCAATGACAAGGCGATGCACGCGAAGCCCGACTACGCTCTGGCGTTCTGATCTTGAAGGCGAAGCTCAAGCTTCCTCCAATTTTCTGTCGACAAATGGTTTCATATACCAAAAATGAATTGCGTCATAAACGCAAAGGCACATAGACGTGGCCGTGGCGTGACTTAAGGTCAGGCCCGGGCAAGACACAAAAACAAGAAACCAACGCTTCTGTCCCTCGTGCACTGTTCACGTAGCTGTGGCGCGTTTAAGTATTGTCAGTTCTATAGTTATCCCGGCCGCCACGATGTGTCACCCCCACGCTGTATACTACAATGTGCGCTATCATGCCTAGGGGGAGCCGCGTGTTCGAAAGAAACGACAAAGGGCTTAAGGTGACAACACACGCGGGCGTAGCTTCTTGCACCACCCTCGTTCGCCTGTTGCGCAGATTTCAGCGTGCTCGCAGGAACGAAAGCAGTAGTAAAGTGACTATAGAGCGCAATAAAAGCATGTTAGTACTTGACGGATCATAAAACAAGGTTTTGCTGCAGTCGGTTCAAGAGGAAATTAACTCTAACTGTGAGGTCATTCGATAATTGCTTGAAAGAGAGTTGCAAGCGTGTCAAAAGACTTTGGCGTATGCTGCTTCGTGCTCATCGTCGCCAGAGATAGCTGTTGGCATAGTTTCATTAGCCCGTCGCGTAGGAAGAGGAAGCTGCTCGATGACCGTCCTGCTCACCTGAGGAGCGCACCTGGCCCACGCCCTCCTCACACGCGTCCTCATCAATGTACTCAAGGGCACCTCAATATACTGCACTACACCCGCGAGACCACGGTGAATGCGTGGCCGACGTCATTCCGAGTCTGAATCGACGTCTGAGTCGTTGACCATGCCGAAGCGACGGCCCAGTGCGCGAATTTTAAGCACCACTTCCTCCTGAACCAGGTTGAAGCACATGGCAATCAGTGCTAATCCCACCAACAGGTACAGCGAGCATATGACCAGTTTCTCTTGGGAGCCACTGTCCGAGACGACGGTGTCACCAGGCACCAGATCACCAAAGCCAATAGTGCTCAGTGTCACGAAGCAGAAGTAGGAGCCGTCCAGGTAGTTCCAGTCTTCCCACACAGAAAAAAGCACTGCACCACCACAGATGTAGCTGCCGATGATGGTCATGCACAGCAGGATAGGCACTGTCACTCGCGGGCGCTCTTCCAAGTCATCCAAGAACTGATCCATGTAAGAGTTCAGCATAGCCTGCACGGCAAAAGTCATGAAAGAATTCAGCGAGCAAAATATCATGTTTGACATGGGAAACTTAATTTGTGCAAGGCAAAACATCGCGCTGAGTAAACCACGTCACGCGCTAAAATTTGAGCGAACTTAACACTATTCAGCGATAACAATGTTCATGTTTTATATAGAATAACCTACGACATTAGTTATCGCGTTACGATACAATTTTGGTTCATCACATAAATTTTCTGCTGCAAGAAAAGCTACAAAAAACCACGTTATTTCTCTTCAGTGGGGCGCTAAGCATGATACACGTGCATCACGCACTTACTTCAAGCTTCTAGTGTTAGTACAAGCGGTATCAACTTTGCTGTCTTCTTAAGCGCGGGGATTGTTCTAGCGAAACTTCAGCGTATCTACCTATCTGCTTACCTATTCATGTATTTATGCACTTATATAGATAGATAGATAGATAGATAGATAGATAGATAGATAGATAGATAGATAGATAGATAGATAGATAGATAGATAGATAGATAGATAGATAGATAGATAGATAGATAGATAGATAGATAGATAGATAGATAGATAGATAGATAGATAGATAGATAGATAGATAGATAGATAGATAGATAGATAGATAGATAGATAGATAGATAGATAGATAGATAGATAGATAGATAGATAGATAGATAGATAGATAGATAGATAGATAGATAGATAGATAGATAGATAGATAGATAGATAGATAGATAGATAGATAGATAGATAGATAGATAGATAGATAGATAGATAGATAGATAGATAGATAGATAGATAGATAGATAGATAGATAGATAGATAGATAGATAGATAGATAGATAGATAGATAGATAGATAGATAGATAGATAGATAGATAGATAGATAGATAGATAGATAGATAGATAGATGCTGGTAATAAACGCCTTATCAAGGCGTTTATTAGCCGACAACCAGCGTTCATATGCTATGATGAAAGTCACAGCCAAGCATGGCCTCCCAGCGCGGGCGCTGTTCTTTTTCAGTAGACCCACTAGAAAGCACTCGAGAGTTCAACCAATTTCAGTTTGGAGGCTTCAACACAATTACCCCGAGGGAGAAGAGGTAGCCACGTGGGGTCATAACTGCTTGTTACTACAAGCGGATCATACTAAGTCTTCAGGTGCTGCATATTGACTACGTCGCGCCCGCGACGGCGCATGTCCGAAGATTGTTAGATAGGTTCGATCAGATAGTTGACCGGAGATCTGCGCTCGATGACACGGTAGGGGCTTTCGTATTTCGGGAGTAGTTTGGAAGAGACGCTAGCTACAAAGGTCGGAATTGAGAGCCGTACGCGCTCACAAGGAAGGAACGTGGGCTCAGAAATGGCAGAGCCATCATGAATACTCTTCTGCCGCACTTGCGCATGCGTCGTAAAAGTCTTGGCAAGCTCGTGACACTCTTCCGCAAGCCTGGCTGTCTCAGAAATAGGTGCACACAGATGAATCCCGCGTGTACGTGTTGTACGGCGTGGCATGTACGTGGATCCGGCGTGAGTATCGTGTCGACGGTGTGCGACGGGCACCTTCCGTACAGCAACAAAAAAGGTGAAACAACGGTCGTGCTCTGAGGGGTGATGTTGTAGGCGTAGGTGTCGAGGGGCACAATTCATGTGGTTGGTGGCAACGTGCATCCATCAAAAACATGCCGCCGAGATGCGGTTAAGACGTTCGGTAAAGCCATTCGTCTGCGGCTGGTAAGCAGTAGCTTAGCGGTGGACAGAATAGCACTCGGTGAGAATGGCTTCAACGACTTCCGACAAGAAGACACTGCCTTGATCGCTGAGAAGCTCCTAGGGTGGACGTGGCGCACTATGAATGGATGCAGCAGAAAGGACGCAACATCTCGCCCAGTAGCTGCAGAGAGAGCGGTGGTGTCGGTGGTGTCATCAACTTGCAATCAGAACTGCCACCGGGTCGCGTAAGAATTCTCCACTGGGGACTCGCCGCTGCGTTGCGTCATTATCCTCAAATCAGGAGCCGCTGCTTTGGATTGCACCCAAGGAGGAGTGATGTTGCCACGTATTGCGTTAGACTCGCCAGACTGGACGGCGCTGCTTGCTTCATCGGGCCAGTGGGCTGAGAGAGCTCGCCGTGCGTTGCGTGAGGCAGCCCGACGCCACCACTTGATGGCGTCAGGCCGGCTCAATCACTGGCCCTGTACAGCTGCCGAGGCAATGACGTTCGGTCTAGACTTTCAGGCATAACAGCACCCCCACCACCTCAAAATGCGCCGGAAAGACAAGCTGCTTCCACGAGGCTCGGATGTTGGGCGCTCTCGTTCAGCAGGTCCCTTCAGGTTCGCCTCCAGGGCCAGGGAGAGGATGTGGCCTCAGGCTCAGTTCGACAACACATACCATTATTGAAGACGGACTCCAGCTCCACTGGTTTGTCACCAAGACTTGTCGACTAGCTTCGCTCGTCTCTTCTGATGATTTTTGGTCTCAGCATTTGTCGATGGTTCTGCAACTTGTAGAGGACGGTCCGACAACGGACAATACACAACACAAGCAAGTGCCCTCGGTAACCCGGAAGGAAACGAGACAAAGTGTAGTACGTGTCTATCGGAATTTCGTTCCCTCCACATCAAGAGGCACATGTGCGACAGAAGGCTTTTGAAATGAAAACTCAAACTTTTACTCGTACAACAACGTATTGAAAGAAAATACAACATAAATTTGGCCACTTAAGATCACTCTGGACGAGAGCGTTCAGCTAAGGCCGTGATGAGGACAAAACTTTGCCCCGTTTCGCCCGCGAAAAACCGAAAAGTGAAGAAGCTACTAACTAAAGCACACGGCTCAATGCGTCTGCATTAGCGTTTAGCTTTCCTTTCTTGTAGCGAACGTCTAAGTTGTGCTGTTGGAGTATCATGCTCCACGTCAGTAGCCAGTCACTTTTAGGTTACATGTTATTTAAACAGGTTAGAGGACAGTGGTCCGTTTCGAACACAAGCCTTGAACCGGAGATATAACAGGCTAGCTTTTCAACGGCCAACACGAGGCAAGCTCATTTCTTTTCAAATGTGCTGTATGCCTCTTCCGTGCAGCTTATTTTTCGACTTAACTACAAGACTGTCCTTTCGATTACATTATTAGAAGTAAGAATTTCTGGTCCTTCTTCTTATGAAGCATTCAAAAGCAGATTTACGACCGCTGGACGTTAAACGTCTGGCTTCGTCAAGTTACTATGGTAAGTTTTGTTCAGCCGCCTTTCCGATTTCACTGCGTAATTAGTGTCAGAAAGCTTTGATATTACTTTAGCAGGCCCTTCCCAACGAACCTCAAGCTTGTTCCTTTTGAACTTCTCAGCGCAAAAAAAACTTCCAACAACTAACACAAGAGACGAGCTCGTCCTCGTCCCTTGTGTTACTTGTCGGAAGTCTCTTGTGTTCGTTGTCGGAAGTTTTTTTTTGCGTTGAAAAGTTTATCATAGCATTACCAACTAGCCCAATCCCACGCTTTACTTTGTTCATTTTGGTCGGCCGCAGCAGCATTACCTGACTACCCAATTCAAAAGGTGCATTTCATCGCCCATTTCTCGTGGTACTCCTTCACCAACACATATGCAGCCTTCATGTGGCTTTCCACAAGACCTTTCATTTTTCGAAGCCTCTGAAGAAGGTCTAGAACGTACGCAACTACATTAGGGTCCACATAGGCCCCCTCCCAGGATTCGCAATGGTGTTCTCAAACTTCTGCCATACACAAGCTCTGCACGACTAAAACCAGTGCTCTCATCAGGAGCTGATCTGAAAGCAAAAATAGCGGGGGGAATACGCACTTCCCAGTCGCATTTGTGCTCGTAGCTAAGAGCTCTCAGCATCCGTTTCAGAAAAGAATGCATATACTCGACCGGAATAGACTGTGGATGATGGATCCAGGTGTGTACTTCTTTCATTACACATTTATCGATAAAGGTAGAGGTAAGGTAGCTGGTGAAGACACAACCGTTGTAGCATAGCATATCAGAAGGAAATCTGACGCATGCAAATACAGATAGCACTGCATCCACAACATGAGTGGAATTGAGCTGCTTAAGTGGCATCGCTTTGGAAATTCTGTGGCTACACAGAGGGCCGCCAGGATGTACCGACAACCTTGCCTTGACTTTGGCGATAGCCCGACGATATTAAATACTAGGCGGCGAAAATATACTGTGATAATTGGCACAAGCTTCATGGGTGCCTTCCACTTGTTCGTAGATTACTCCGCTCTCTGACAAGAGTCACATGAGTGTACAAAGCCTTCGATATCCTTCCAGCAATACGGCCAATAAACCTCAAGGGAAATTCTAGCCTTGTTCTTCATTAGGCCGAGGTGTCAGGCCAACGCGTTTTCATGCGCCAGTTCCAATAGTTGGCGACAATACTTTAGTGGCACCAGGAGCTGCTCTTACTTGCGACCTTGCACATTTGCGTACTTCCCACACGGCAGCCCTGTCTTTAAAAAAAAGAAACATTCTTATTTGTTCCCAACTTTACGCTTTTCATTAGCGCTTTAATTGAGAGATCTTCACAATGCTCGCTAATAAGCGTTTCTCAACCTACCCTCACCAGCTCACTCCAACTTTCCGCTACAGCCGACAGAGTAAAATCCCACTCGCTCTCGTTCACTGGCGTTATGTCGTCTCCTCCGCCGACAGAAACGGCTTCTGTGACAGGCGGCTTGAGAGACTCATCCGGAGGATTCCCTGTCCGAGGTACTATTACCTAGCCGAATAGGTCACGCAGATCAGCCTCTTTAGCAGGAGGTGTTTCACTACAATGAACGAGATCCCGTTCCTGCGAAAGCTTCCGCGCTTGCGATCGGGTGAGGACCATGTACGCTAAGTTGAAAAAGAACGATTTACCCTACTCTTTGAAAAGCTCCTCAGTATATTAGAAAAAAGATAAGGAAAATGATCGGGAACAGCAGCAGACACAGCCGCTTCAGTGCGAAGTTTACCGAACGGGCCTCAAA